AAAATTATTGAGCTTGTTGCTACCGAAACGTACGAAAATATAAATCTGGGCCTCAGAAGTTTTCTAATAACTTCTTTAAAAAAAAAAACAACAAAACAAACACCTTTCCCAAGACAATATAGATGTTGGCTATAAAATCGTTAAAATTAAAATGAAAAGGGTTAAATTTATAACCAACTATTACTTAAAATATATAAATACATAACTTAATTTCCGAAACAGATATAAAATAAATAATAATTATAAAAGGCAGGATGTATTTGTGTGTGCGTGTGTGTGTGTGTGTGTGTGCGTGCGTGTGTGTGTGTGTGTAACGGATGCACGGCCGCAATTTTCGACGGATTTGCACCAAAATTTACATGCACATGCTCCAAGTTAGTGGAAAGGACAAGACCGACTTTGCATTTCCCAATTCCCATCGATAGAGGAAATAATCGATTTTTTCATGGTTCTACGGCAGTTTCCATGTAGTTTGCGGCCATTTTGTACTGGCCAGAGAGAGATCCTATAGCTGGCTGCCAAGAATAGGCAGGAAGATTCTATTGGCCAGCGTGAGAGCCAACAGCTGACTGACACGAATGTTAACTAGCATGCAAAAAAATATCGATAGCTGCATTCATCACAAGTGGGAAAAATTTAAATCTGCATGGCACTTTACTCCAATTGGCTCATTCGCTTGCTTAAACTCAACGTTGATTCTGATTCCGCAGAACTGGGTTGGGTGTGAAAAAGTATTTGTTGTTAACATTCTTTTTTCATTCGCTTTTTCCAGTTACGAGTCCTTTTTTAAAGCTGATCGTTTTGTGTTCATTTTGTTTAGTTCTTTTTTCGTAACAGATTTAATGTTTTGTAGAGAGCTTAGAAAAAATTCGCAGTGTGAGATAGGCAAGAAGTAAGGCATGTAGCAACATCAGCACGGCAGAGGGCACTCCTTTAAAGGCAAGGAAGGGCAAAAATATTTTTAGTCAAGTGATAGTGATTGCTGTATGAGGTACGATTTTTGAATCAAGCACGGGCAACGCTGGGCCATGCTGCTAGTCCTATTATAAAAACAAAAATTTCAACGACATTTACTCACTTTCGTTTATTAGACATTAAATTACATCACTTTCTGCTTATTATATGTCCATATATAATCAGACGGCGCTTTAGTACGTGTTTTCAGTTTTTTGGAGACTTTGAACTTATATGCAAAATATAAGAAAAAAGAATTAACATCGGCATAAGTGTATGTATTGGTCTTCTCTCTTATTATGCCAGAGAGAAAGATGTGGGAAGATTTTTCCTAAGGTTTGGACGAATTAGAGATATAATACTAAAGAATAAAGTTTGTTGAATTTTAGGATTACAGAGATGCAGACGATGCTGTATATGAACTTTCCATCCACCCCGACGTAGAGGTGGAAGAGACAAGTATGGACCACCAAAAAGAACAGAATTTTGCTTAATTTTGGAAAAACTTATCCTCCAGAGTAAGCTTGCAGGATCCCAAGAACTACATACGCAAAAAAATAAAGAATAAAATATAATATATACTCTAAAAGAAATCCACATCATAAACAAAAACGTATACGATTTCTCACTTTTTTTTAAATATACATTTTTCTCTCGTTGGAACAAATATATATATATATATATATATATATATATATATATATATATATATATATACACACAGGAACATACACACTTACACACATCATATTCACTCACTCGCTAATGAGCCAAATGATAACACACAACCACAGCAATATACACGCTTGCACATATCATACTCACTCACTCCCTAATGAGCCAAATAATACACCCCCCCACACACACACACTTAACAGTGACACATCCCCTCTGCAAGAATCAATAAAACTGTCAAACTGACCAGCGGAATTCAGAGCAGCATGGATCCATCCAGCTTTTATCTCAAATAACAACTTAAAAGAGACTGTTTGACCAACACAAGGAATGTTAAAAGATTCATATTAGAAAGTTAAAAAAAAAAAATAAAACAAATGAAAACTACAGACAAAAGTTCATTTTTTCGATCAAGACATTCATTTCTGTAGTTCACTGCTCCCAGCAAGTAGAAATATTTCTTCTTCTGATGATGGCCATTTTGGCTGAAACTAGTCAAGGAATCTAAATGAAATAATAATAATAAAAACGAAAGTATATTGATCTACAGTGTGCCTGAAGATTTTATTTTTTTTAATATTTTTTATTGTTCAATATATATATATATATATATATATGGTAATGTGGTTCACAAAATAACACGCAGATTTAGGGCGAAATTATAATTTCACATCACAATGCGTTCTTGTGTTATTTTCTCTTAAGTGGTAACTCTTATGGCCCCATCGCTTGAACATCAACAAAAAGTAAAAGAAAGGAGCAGAATATCCAGTTTTATGCACTTCTTAGACTGTTTTTAAATTAACATTTTATGTCTGTAAAAGTTAAATAAATTTGGTCTGAAAGCGTAAACCAGGTATCTGTGCAGTTGCATTGTCCGTATTTTAGTTTTTTTTTAACTTTTTGGTTCAATGGTGGGATAAAAAGTTACAGTTTACAATTTGCATTTTTTTAAGTTAAGTCATTAAATTGAAATGACATCCAGAATAGCTCGTCATCATAATGTTCATTTAGTCTAATGTTCATGTACAGCTTAAATAACCGTGTCTGTCTTTAATTATATGGTCGGTATGGTAATTTGAAAAAAAAAAAAGGAGTTAATTTATCTTTTTGCCATATATATATATATATATATATATATATATATATATATATATATATATATATATATATATATAAACCTAGTTAGCCAGACAAACCTACCTAGGTTTCACCTAAACGGATCGTCAGGAAATTTGGCTAAAGAGGCAAAGTGAAACGCAAATTTATAGGCGATAGCCAAAAATTATCCCATGTGACCAAAGAAAGAACCACACAACACAAACACCTGAGTGTGGGGGGGATCTAAAGATTTATTCAACAAAAAGGGGAGGGGATATTAAAATACGAACATTAAGGTGGAATGACAAATAAACGGGAAAAAACGTCTAATTTAGTAACCAAGATTTTTTATGTCTACATATGTTAAGGATTTCAGTTTTGGAGTTTAATAGCTGGTTAGGTTGATCATATAAAGCTATGGCTAATTTCTCCTCTGTACATAATTTACAAAATTTTTGGCCTGCTTTATATTTGGGTCATTTTTTTAGTATTTCCCATTTAAGGATGGGGTCTATATTATCTTCCTGTTTGGTTTTCCATACATAGGTGGATAACGTGGTACTATATTTAGTTTTTCGTTTTTAAAACTACTCGTGTGGTTATAGTATCTTTTTTTTAAATTTACCCTGAGTAGCACCTATGTATATTTTAGGGTTAGTATCCTCACTATTTTTGTAAATTTTCACTTGATAAACCACGCATTCTTGCTGACATTTTCCCTGTAATGGGCAGATATATTTGTTTCTACAATTGCAAGCGTGGATTATCCCTATTTTTTTATTTTTTGTGGTTTAAGCCTCCTGTTAATTTAGCGGTAAAAACAAAAACTGGCAAAATATTTTTTGACTTATTAGAGAAACATTTCCAAAAAAAAAACTGAGTTACATAAAATATTCAATAAAAACAATGTAAAAGTTATTGTTGCATACCTAACGTAGGGACTATAATAAATGGATTGAATAAGAAAAAAAACTATATATATATATATATATTCTAGAAACTTTGTGTTTTTTCTCGACTATTTGTATATACGGTTCACTGATGCATTTTTACTACGCTTGTTTTCCTTTTTTTATTTTTGTACGGTGGGTTGAAGCATATGAAACAAGATATGGTTCATCATACATCATTAAACATCATACGATTGATCCCACCGTACAATAAAAACGTAAAAACAAACGTACGAAAAATATTCATCTAACGCTTACACAAACATTTTCCCGAATCAAGTACTCTCCACAAAAAATTCAACAAAAACACAGTAAAATTCAGCTACAGTTGCACCAAAAACATGAGAAAAATAATAAAAAAAAAGACAGCAGGAAAAATTTTGTCAATTTACAATCGCCTGAGGAGACAAATTGTGATGCGTTGAAAAACGACTGCTATTGTGTAGCGATTCTTACATGTTTTTCTTGGAATATCTTTAAAAGAATTGCTCCACTATGTATTGGACCCTTTTTTAAAATAATTTTTTTTAATTTAATTTATATATATATATATACACACACACATACACACACACACACACACACACACACACACACACACACACACACACACACACACACACACATATATATATATATATATATATATATATATATATATATGTATGTATGACAGTTTGAAATTATATTTTAGTGGGTACACGTATTTGAGTAGACGCCCCATTTATTAAACTATACATTTATTTATTTTGTCTACCGGTCTGAATAACCGGTCATCTTTATTTGATAGAATCTTGTTTCTTTATTTGATAGAATCTTGTTTCTTTATTTGATAGAATCTTGTTTCCAATTCCTAATTTCCCTTCCACTTTCTCTTAAACAGTTTTATTCCACGCTGTACTGTTGAATAACTCGTTATAGTAAAGTAATAATCTTCATTCTGGTGAGAACGAAAGACTCTTAGTTATTTTTACTACTAATTAAAATAGAATATCTCTCAAAGTGTCTGCAGACAGATATATCGGAAACCAGACAAACAACATGTAGCAGTGTGAGATAGGCAAGAAGTAAGGCATGTAGCAACATCAGCACGGCAAAAGGCACTCCTTTAAAGGCAAGGAAGGGCAAAAATATTTTAAGCCAAGTGAAAGCGTTTAAGTCGTACGATTTTTGAATCAAGCACTGGCAACACCGGGCCATGCTGCTGTGTTATCTAAATATATATATATATATATATATATATATATATATATATATATATATATACCCACATGTACATATATATATATATATATTTTAGAAGAGAAGGACTTTGCCACCTTACGTCGTCAGTGCAAGGTAGATAACTATAAATATCTTCCTTACACTGGCGACATTAAAGGTTAAATACATTACAGACATAAAATATACAAATACAATTAATGTATTCGATCGTAAGATGCTAAAAAGAATGGAAAAATGAAAAGAAAGAAACGGGGAAAAGTCACGTGGGAAGTCGAGCTGAAAAAGAAAAAGAAGATCAAGGATAGAAAAAAGAGCGAGTAACGAGAGAAAAAGAGTCTGAGAAATTGGAAAGAAAAACAAGATCTTGAAGATGGCGGTTGGGTCGGGCAACTTATCATAACGGAGAACTCTGACACCGACGCTAAGAGCACATCAGTTCAATATCTACGCACTGAATGACGTAGGCGCCGAGCCACTGTCTTCAATCAAAACGATGTCAAAATGGATTTAAATGTAGAAATTATGATCTATTTTCCGTTTCGCGATCAAGCCCGGTGTAAAGTCAGATATTCGATCTTCGTGATATTAATAATGGAATCCAATGCTAAAACGGGTGAGGGTAATGGGTACGTATTTAGCGGTGGGTGTTTGTGGGTCGGAGGGTTAGGTAGAGAGAGCAAAAAATGCGAATGCAACAAAAGAGATAGAAAAAGAGAGACTTAGAATTACATTGAAGAAAGAAAGAGATAGATAGAGGTTAGATAGATAGATAGATAGATAGATAGATAGATAGATAGATACGGAACAGACTGAGATAGACAGATAGATAAGAACATAATGAGATAGATAGATAGATAGATAGATAGATAGATAGATAGATAGATAAGGAAAGACTGAGATAGATAGAAAGGAACGGATTGAGATAGATAGATAGATAGATAAAGAACAGACTGAGACAGACATTGAATAACATTCTGAGATAGATAGATAGATAGATAGATAGATAAGCAAACGCTGAGATAGACAGAAAGGAACGGATTGAGATAGATAGATAGATAGATAGATAGATAGATAGATAGATAAGAAACAGACTGAGATAGATAGATAGATAGATAGATAGATAGATAGATAGATAATTATGAGCAGACTGAGATAGATAGGTAGACTGATATGAGCAGACTGAGAAAGAAAGAAAGAAAGAAAGAAAGAAAGAAAGAAAGAAAGAATGAATGGGATTTTGAATTATATTTTTTAAATAAGTGCAAAAATAAATATCACTCTTACGTTATTATCAGATTGAAGAGATTATGTATTTACCATAACGAGTTAATCAACATGAGATAAAGACAGTTTAAAGAGATAGCGGGAAGATATTACAGAAATAGGGAACAAGTTTTTTTTTATCAAATAAAGATTATCTCATTTCGAAACTCCAATTTTCATTCAGTTTGCCAAATTTTATTTCTCTCCTCTGCTCTTTTGAACAATATGCTCAATGTTTCATCCGTAGTAACCACTGGCCTTCTTCAGATGTATATCTTCTTGGACTTTTGAACCTTTCACTTTATTCACCGGAATTCATCTTTCTGTAGCTTGTTTGTAACGTTTCAGCAGTACCACACCCAGGGATTGAACTCACATCTGCAAAAGAACCAAATATAACTTAACTAATACTTTAGGCGGTTTTTTTAATTAGTTCGCCCCGAGCAATATATATATATATAAAAAATTATAATTTTATTCTTTTAATGTACTTTCTATGAATATTTTTCTAATCGACTATTTCATAGAAAATCCACACAATTTAAAAAAAAAATTTAATCACTAACAAACATCAAATTAAATTATTTGTAGACAGTCTAGAGACATTCAAAATTATATCAAACATTATAATCTTTATGGACCTCCAAACTAACACTTTCAAAGTAAGGCAAAATAACAGCGTCTGTTTCTAGGCTTTTTTTACAAAGAAAATTAGTGACTTAACTAACTTATTAACTTCCTTCCCTATTTTTCTCTCTATGGGGTTTTTCTTCTCTACCCCTTCGATATCAATATATAACTTCCGTTAAGTTAACCGTTTAAATGTGTCAATATCTGCTAACTCACTCGTGTTATCTCTCTCCCCCCTCACTTCCTCACTTCGTTAATTTACATATGTTTAATACAGCCCGTCAAAAATTTTTTCAATTAGTTCGCCCTGAGCAATATATATATATATATATATATATATATATATATATATATATATATATATATATATATTACACTTCAAGAAAAATTGAATTGAGTTCTGTGAGATGCCGGCGCGTTTTGTATAGCGAAACGCGTTAAAATTCCCTTCCTTCTCAGCCATGGATTTTACTGTTTACAAGAAAATTGAAATAGATCTAAGAACACACAGGGGTCATTAAAAGAATGCCGATAACTCTTTCTTTCTCAGACTAATCTTAATTGTTTTTATTGCAAGGGGCTTCTTGAAGTGAAAGAGAATTAAAATATTTTAGAAGTAACCGGAGTTGTAATCCTAAACAGGAAAAAAGTGATAAGCCTCTATTCCTTACCAAAGGAGCCGGGAGGAATGAGAAACGGATGATAGGTGAACCTATCTCCTTATATTAAAACGGACAAGAGACTTTCTTCTACTTCTTATTTTTCTTTCAGAACTTTGGTGTTCAGTTCATTGTCGCTCTTAGTAAATTTTGATATTTTGCTATCTCTCCTACACTCTGTCCTGTCAACCATTGACACAACTTCGTAAGGTGTATTATGAACTGTTTTCCTCTGTCCTCTTACATTTAATATGTCCTGTGAGTGTCGAATATTCTGTCTCGCACCTCTCGCCTGTGGAACTCCCTTCCCTCTTCTAGTTTCCCTGAGAGCTATAATCTCCAGCTATTCAAATGTAATGTCAATCGACATCTCCAGTTGCCTTGATCTATCCACTATCCTTCGCCTCATCCTTTCTTCTATCACTCCTATCTGATTTTGCGCCAAATCTTCAGTAACCCCTTGCGTCCTAGTGGCTTCCCGCCTTGCTTGGGGTGAAACGCTTAAAAAAAACAAAACATTTTTTTCCCATCATGCACCCGAGAAATATCAACTGTTTTTTGTTTACTGTAAAATATAATTGTCTTATTTTATTTTAACTGCATTTAAAACTTCGTAAGTGCTCAAATAATCTATCCGTTCTGTAGAACTATATTTGCCTCGCCTTTGTTTTATATATTAAGAGATTGTCCAGCATTTAGAGAACTGATATTACATAAAAGTTTAGAAATATTTTTCTTTGTTTCCAATGAAATTTTCCTGTTTCTTAATAATTTGCTTAATTTTTTAAAAACATTTTTCGCTATTCCAACGCAACTACGGATTTCGGGGTTACACTTTCTATTCTCTGTTAAAACACTACACAGATATTTAAATGTGTGTATTTACTTGAATGTGGTATCTCCAATTTGTAATTTGCAGGTTGGGCCGTTCCTTTTGCTAACAACTATACATTCTGTCTTCTTGAAATTTAGGTTTTGACTTTTCTTCTCACTTTCCTTCATTAGCGTTTGTAGAATTTCCTTCTGTTAGCACTGTCGTCATATATTGTGTTGTTCAGATTGTGGCAGTCAATAATTAATCATTGTAGGACTTCTAATTCTCTCAGAATCACCTCACTGTATAGATTAAATAAGTCTGGTGAGAAGATCCTTGTTTAAACCCCTTTCAATGTTTGTATATTTACTGAATTCATTTGTTATCTGCATGCAGATAGTTTTATACTGGTATATATATATATATATATAAGTTTATTTAATGAAAACCAGACCAATTTAAAAGTACCATTACAATAATTTATTTCACCAAAATCCTTTTTAAAGGACTCCGGATCATCAGGTAACAATTCCTACAACGAAATGAAAGAAAAAAAAAAAAAAATATATATATATATATATATATATATATATATATATATATATATATATATATATATACCACACACACATTGGCAAGAACAACGGTCACACGCGCGAACACTACACAGCATAGGAAGTGTGTGTGTGTTTGTGTGTGTGTACGTGTGTGTATATATGTTTGTATGTGTACAAATATGTTTACTAATTCCTCGTAATAAGACAGGGTGTACGTATGGTGAGGGAACATACATATATACACGTATGCTGACAAAACACAAGAAAATAGAAATAGATCTAAGAACACACAGGGGTTATTAAAAGATAAGAATGCCGATAACTCCTTCACCAATTCTCGGACCAATCTTAATTGTTTTATAACCCTTCACGCAGAACTTTTCACTGGCAGTTCAAGAAAGACATTTGGGTCACTAACACACATAAAAAAGAACATCTCATATGGAGAATATATAACATCGAAACACATAAGGAAAAAAATAATTATTTTTAATAATATGTGGAGATCTCCACGCTTTGCCTGGTGAAGAACGCGAGACCAGAAACACGTGTAGTAAAATTATCGAAAATAAATACCAACGGCTTTCCATACTTCATTCTCCAATTCACTCTCGTGTGGTCATGTGTGACATCATGAGATGCGGTGCGATTTTCGCTTCTAGCGTCTTATATACGCGTTTATCGTTGCTTAGAGATCATCTATGTAAACAATGACAGACTATCATCACTGTCTTATCCCTATATTGTTTAATATGTTTGTAATTTACATCTTTGATAATGGCTTAAGTAAGCCGAAAGCTTAGATTATATTAAAAAAGATATGGATCAATATTGCGAATTTCTTTCTTCGTTTAACGATAATGTTATTAAACTTATCAGATGTTACGAAAAAAATTTACATAAAATAAATAGACAACACTTGTCTATATTATTTAATGAAACGTGTGTATATGTATATATATATATATATATATATATATATATATATATATATATATATATATATATATATCATAGACTATCAAAAATGAACAAACTACGCATTTTTTTCTGAAAGGGCAAACTTATAATGCCAAATATTTTGAACACTGACTTTTTTTTCATATATATATATATATATATATATATATATATATATATATATGTGTGTGTGTGTGTGTGTGTGTGTTTGTT